ATGTACTTTTGCTAAGATCCTGCATCTTTCCTTGGAAATGTGTCTGTCTGGGTACTCTGGAGTGGTTGCTAAAGAGCATACTAACGGAAATTTAGTTGTTTGGGTGGTAATATAAGCCATACTACTAGTAACCACTACTAAGTGAATTTAGTTATGGCGCATGGATTGCATTATGTTTGCTATGCATGTATGGTTTTACAGTTTACAAAACATTTTCAGGTATTTGACCTCATTCAGTCCTTACCAATTGCTATGAGTTGGGTAGGGTTTCTATTCCTTGGAGTCAGAATGCTTGGGTTTGAATCTGGAGTCACCACTTAGCAGTTGGGTGCCTTTGGGCAAGTTATTTCAACTCTCTCTGCCTTGATTTCCTCTAAAAACAGATGTCATTGTAGTACTTAATTCATAGGAATGTGGTGAAGATTCAATGAGTGTGTAAAAACTTTAGGACTATCCTGGAATACAGCAAACAAATGCACTATAGTATTCCCATTATCGTTACTGTTATTATGCTTTTAGAAATGGGAGAACTAAGGCTAGGCAAGGCTAAAAGGTTTAACATGGTAAGGCTGGGAGCTGAATTCATCATATTAGTGGTTGTGAAATTATCTGCCCCTAAAAACTGGTGTTTAACAACCAGACTAAGATATTGTGCAGCTAAAACAAAATAATCATGGTTTAACTAACTGACAGAAAGCTGTTAATAGACTTTTCTCAATCTTAAACTTTTGGGATTGCTACTGCCTCTCTAACAGCACTTGCTGGTGCTCATAACCATGCCACAGCATTCACAGAAATATTAATGGAGAAAACTCAGGACTGACTGACCTAGCCTGGTTCAACAGCTTTTTGTTTACATGAGCATCTGACCTTGTGACTGAATTGCACGCAGGCACCATAAGCATACTTTTCTGTCCTAGGCCACATGAAGAAATCCTATATAATAAAAGGTTAATATGCAAATTGACCATAACAGCAGAACTGGGAACAACTGGTTGCTATGATGTGCACTGACCACCAGGGGGCAGACACTCAATGCAGGAGCTGCCCCTGGTGATCAGTACGCTCCCACAGGGGGAGCTTTGCTCAGCCACAAGCTGGGCTGATGGCTGCGAGTGCAGCAGCGGTGGCAGGAGCCTCTCCTGCCTCCTCAGCAGCACTAAGGATGTCCGACTAATGGCTGTTAGTCAGACATCCCCTGAGGGCTCCCGGGCTGCCAGATGGATGTCTGACGGCCAGCTTAGACCTGATCCTCCGGGGAGCGGGCCTATGCCAGCAGGTGGATATCCCCCAGGGGTCCTGGACTGCAAAGACCGCAGGCCGGGCTGAGGAACCCCCTTTTCCCCCTCCCCCCACCAAGTGCACAAATTTTCATGCACCGGGCCTCTAAGTTGGACATAATCTGTAATTTGCAACATCCCACAAAGAATATATTGCTCAGTAGACCACAATGCCGTCTAGGTCCACCCCCAAAGAAGCCCAGTCATCCCCTCCAACCTTGAATCTTAACACATATAGACTTACTTTTTATACTTCCTGCAACCCTATGAATTTCAGATCAAGAATATATGTTCTGGGTTATTTTTAGAGGAGATAGCAAAGAGGAAACCAGGAAGCTGGGAAGAGAAGAAGAGAGATGGAGTACAGGCGACATGCTTTCGCCATGCAGCTTAAAGTAACTGAAGCAACATAAACCTGTGGGTGCTGAGGGATGCAGGGCCTGTGGAAAGGCTACCCTGCTGCTTTGAAGGGGAGAGAGTGGAGCCTGGGGTATGCTGTGGCTTGGCTCAAATAATATGGCAAAGCTAAGGATATATAACCCTGTATATTGAGCAGTTTTGAGAAATATTCAAGTGTGTATGTGAATTTGTTAATGAACAACCTTTTCCCCTATCATGCAAGTTTATTCAGAATAACGGTGGAACCCTGAAAACTGTTTTATAAAACAAAAAAAAGGGTTTGAAGATTTGGTTGGAAAGCCAGTAAAAATATTACGCATCACAGACTAAAATTCCCACGTTATTAGTAATAAAGGGAAAGGATATTCTGAACTGTTTCTAGTCACCAAAGGGTGGTCACTCCACGTTAGTTGTATGGCTCTCTTCAGTGTGCAGCCTGTTCTTTATTTTCATGAACATTGTAACCAACACTGTTGAACGCCAACCAACATCCATTTCTACCCTCTTTCTTCCTTAACCATATCCTACCAGAGGGGCTGAAGAATTGAAATATTCCCCTTTGCTACCTGTCTTGCTCTAGTGACCTAGTCCTGGCCCGAGACATAAGGGGATTTCTGCGGGAGGGGAACAGCATTCTCCCTGATTAAAAGGAGACATCTGAAAAGAGCTTCTTCCCACCTCTTTTTCTTTGGATGCTGCCATGAGAGGGCGTGCTGCCTGGAGCTGTGGTAGCAATATCGTGAGTAGGTTGGTGACCAAGGCTGAAGCTGAAAGCTAACAAATAGAGGAAGGTAAAAATGCCAAAGATGAAAAGAGATGGGTTCTTGAAAGCAACAGTGAGCTGCCAACCCAACCCTGAGGAGCACCTATTTCTAGACTCAAGTAAGAATTGAAGTCATTAGGCACAAGCACTGTTTGTTTTGTTACTTGCAGTTGAAAGCAGCCATTTGACACAAATGCAATGAAAACATGCACAAGTGCTTGCATGGGTTCAGACTGTCTTGATCTCTGGCTTCCGTCTTCCCCACAGTCTTCCCACTGAGGTTTTCAGATAGCAATTCTTGAGGTTTGAGAGAGACAGTGCCTGTTACAGCATTGGCTTGGGTTGCTGTGAGGTTCATCCAAACCATAAATTACTAAAAAATTAAAGAGAAATGGTAAAAACAAACAAACAAAAAACCCCCCACTTCTATGTTAGGCAGACACTGACGTTCATGTCGGAAGGCACAAGACACCACCAAGCAGCTGTCTTTTCTCCTGGGAGAATGGGTGTTGTCCAATCTAAATGGCTGAGGAGGGAAGTTTTGAAAAACCTCTCAAGACAGTAACTTCAGAAATGACACACTACCCGGAATGGAGAGCAGCTTCCTGGGCTTTAGTATTACACTGACCTGAAACTTCAAAATCATAAGCCACTGATTGGGGTTTACTGAAACAGAGTATACGCATGCACGCATGCACGCACACACACGCACACAGGTTAGTATAAACAGAAAAGTTAGGACCTTGTAAAATGCCCAAGTATTTCAACTTATTCCTCAGTGTTGGCCTAAAAACAGTTACCGCATATCTGTATGTACAAGACAAGCTTAGTGTTCCCTCTTTAAGGGCACCAAACCTCAGACCCGTGAGGTTGACAGTGGCTCTATGACCCCTCTCCCGGTTCCCAGTCTGATCTTTGTGTGGAAACTGCAGTTAAGGTAGACACCACTGTGTGGTGAAGCTCTGCTGTGGAATGCCAGAGGTTGATTCCAGAGAGAATGCAGCTTCTAGAAATTTTATTTGGAAAGAAACCAAAGCCCCAAAGCAAAGGAAATGTTTTTGAGTTGGTCCACACACCACAGCTGAGTGGAATCCAGGTGAGAAATGTGGATAGATGACCTTCTAACCACGGCACACCATTTTAAACACAGACTGAGTTTGCAAATCATTTAGTGCCTTTGAGAAACTTAACAGCTCATCCTCAAATCTACTTAGTTTGACTCTAATTTTGGTAAAGGAGTTCTGGTTAGAGAAAATGAAATGTATCTAAAATCAATTTCCAGGCTATTTGCCATTTATCTGTCTTGTCAAGGTGTTCCTTTGAGTTTCTCCTGAGGAGACGTTTATTACTGCAAACATCAGCCAGGGCAGGCTGGCTGAAGACCTGATTCTCCAGGGGTGGGACATTCGCTCACAGGTCCTCAGGGAAGAAGCCTGCAAGGAACGGATCCATAGGGAGTACTTCCTTCCAGGCTTTTTCAAAGTGGAACTCTGACCGTGAGGTTGTAGCGCACCTGCTGGCTATTTCCGGCTCTCCATACTTGAAGTTGGACTGAGAGAGCTGGGCCCACTTGGAGAAAAGGGAGTGGTAAGAGGTACAGAGAAGTGATGGTGTTTTGGTTTTTTTCTTCATGAACTTTGATTACGTAAGTCAAAAAAGCATTGCCTTTTTGCTCAAGCTGGTTCGATTTAGGTTCTATCATTTGCAACCTGAATCTTAAGCTATTTTAAAAAACTTGTGTACTAGTATATACCCCACTTCCCCTCAAACAAGTCGTGTTTCCCACGAACATGCTAAAAGAATTTTGAAAAATAAAAAATTATTTTGCAAATCAAATATTTACTTTCAAATTTGTCTTTTATGCAAATTCAAATTTTTAGATACTAGGTTTTCTTATAATATTTGTGTTATCTATACAATGGGAGGGAATAACAGTTGAAATACAGTGTAGGCTAAGTTCTAGTGTTCAGATTCAATTTGAGCAAATAGAAAAAAGTGTGTTAGTAACACAGAGAGAATTAAATATTTTATTTTAGATGATAAAAATGTTATACCCACTCTAATATATCATAAAGGATTACTGAATATTTGCATAAGTAATGAAAGGGTTAAGAAATTATTTGGGTTATAATCAGAGGAACATAATAAGCGTACATCTGTAGAAGGGTATTTTCCAAATAAATTCCAATAAAAGGCTAAACATTCTCAAACATTTTATATACATAAAGAATTATTTCCGATTAACATGTTTTTGCTGTAGTGTCAGAAAAATCACAAATTTGGTAAATGTACGTTAAAGTCAGAGTTTTCTATGAGTTCTCTAGCACCACTGTATATCTGTTCAGAAATGAGGCCAGAATTCTCAGAACACAGCACATTAGGGTAGGGGAAGAGAAACACTAGGGTGAGGGAAGAGAAATGCCTGCTGATGCTGACACAGTTAACTAACAAGCGGCGAGGCTGGAGGCGACCAGAACGAAGTGGGACCATGTCACTGAGGGGCTGCGAAGGCAAAAGCAGAGCTGAGCCCAAGACAGTCCAGTCAGGATCATGTTCACAGAGGTTCAGGGTTTGGTTTTTAATGTGGTCAGAGACAAATCCCAGCAAGCCACGTGGTTTTCGTCATCAAGCCTTTCTTCTTGAATTTGTGACTTCTCAACTGAGGCACTTAGCATACTTAAGGGGAAAAATGAATACATTCAGATTGAGTTTTGTCAGATATTAAGCTAGAAAACCAAATATTCATGTCTCCTGTAAGAACTGCACACACAAACAGGGTTTGCTTATTAATGGGGTAGGTAAGAGGAGGAAATGGAGTTCAGCTCTTTCAAAAAGATAAAGGAGGAGGAGACAGTAGGAATGCAGAGGAGCCCTTAGGGATGGGAGCAATTAGTACAAGGAAACAGTTTCCATCTGTGAGGTTCTGCTTCAGGCATCTGTACCTCAGGCGCTTGAGAGGTATGCTTCAGGAGCTACCTGCGGTTAATTTCCCGAGGGCTAGACACAGATTTTCTGAAGCCTTGCCAGGCATCTGCCCCCTTCTGAGTGCGAATGCTTCATTTCCTAAAGTGATCTGAAGCCTGCCAAGCCAAACGGGCTTAGGAAGCTGTCACACGGTGTCCCGTCACGGCATGCTTACACTGTTCACAGTATCTGGGCCAGCAGTGGGAAAGGGACACTTGTATTTTTGGCCCATATGCTTTTCAAGTAGAATACACTTGACTAAGTAAAGGGAACATCATTCCGAACCCTCCGAACTTCCACATCAGCACGCAATCCCTCCATCAAAAGGAGAGTTCTTGTTCCCAAGGCGGAGGGGTAAAGAGGCTGACTCTACAGCAAAATCAACGGCCCAAATAGGTGACGGGCTGATGCAGCCCACTACCAGCAGTAGGAATGTCATTTGGACCAGCGGTCGTCAACCAGTGGTCCACAGATCACTGGTGGTCCACGAGGTCCGAGAGGTTGGCGACCGCTGACTTGGACTACTTTCAGCCCGTGAAAGAAAGTCATCCCACTGAATGTTACCGTAAAAATATTTTATCAGAATATAAGGCCACTTCACTGTTTTCAACCTGTACAAGTTGATGTCTGCTTTGAAACATCATCACATATAACACTTTCTCCCTTGGGTGCTCTTTACTTTGGAGGAGTGTCTGTACTCCAAGCCTTTTCTCTGAGCTCTGCCAACCAAAGTTATTAAGTAGTTGCAACTGTGGTCTTAATGGGATGTCATGTCCTTGAGTCTTTACTACTTAAGGCAATTGCTACATGTGCAGCATTTTCTGGGGATCCTTCTCTGAAAGAATATATTGATAAAATATTTTATGAAGCAGTTAAGTCATTTTAAATCTAGTTGAAAAGATTAAGTTGTTATTCACTTAATGTAAAAGTACTTGACTGAATTTCAGACTTATTTGGAATTCAGAATCTTTGTGCTACACAAATGTTTTTTTTTAAAAAAGGCAACGGCTTACACTTTCCGAAGTTTAGAAATGACATCCACAGAACAACAGGTGATTTTTTTTTTTTTTTTTACCAGTGTGGTTGGAACAGTGATAGTGGGTATTCATTCTACCAGTCTGATCAGGTGGTCTCCACGTGGTCTCTCCACTGTACCAGATTACGTACACGTCTGCCTGTGGAGGACAGCAAAGGTCCTACCAATGTCATCCGGTCTAAAATGCTCATTTTCTCCTACCTGCCAGTCATTCCAATAGGATGCTTTTGAGATGGTGCTTTCTCAAAATACCCTTTTCTCTAGGAATTTATTTGTCTTAAATACAGAGGTAAGGTAGATATGAGAATATCTTTAATAACCAAAGAAATCAACCTAAACTCAGATGATAGCTGGCATGAGTTTTCTAATTTTGAAAGCCTACGATCTGAGCTTGTAATGGGCCATTTCTAAAAGTGCACACACTCTCGAAATATCCAGATGCTGCCAGACTGCCTCCCTTGTATAAAAGGCAGAAGACGAGAAGGAAGCAGACCCCATCCCACAAACGTAGACGTCCACGCTGAGAATCAGCAAGTTTTCCAGGCAGGCACAGTGGAGTGTGACCATAGCTCTCCAATCAGGAGGGAGGGGAAGAAGGGCCCAGTGAGAGAGAGGGGGGGGAGAGAAACCCACAAGTATAACAGTCCCCATTACCATTACAACACCTCACCAGGCAACAAGATTTTCTAGCCTGAAGGCACATAAAAATACCCGTAACAGTAACTAAGACAATGGCAACTGAAAGAAAAAACCCTCCTTTGGAAGTACAGCTGTTTCATTAGGGACGCTGATGCTAAGGTCGGGGCAGGTGAAGCGGATATGGTGCTCTTGGTTTACTTTCTGTGATTCTTCAGCGCTCAGTAAAGCCCATGTGCCTTTTAAACGGACCCCAAGTCCTCTGTGTGACAAAAGATTACAATGGTAGCTACACAAATATTTACTGTTGCTGTGTCCCACAAGTTCACTGATCCAACTGAGTGGAGTCTTCCATGTTTTGTCCACCGCCACTCAGCGTTATAAAGTCAACCAAACAGAAACGGGAAAAGGAGCAATTGTGAAATTCCTGACTTCTTTGCATTGGTTATAGGTCCATAATTTGCATAAAATAAAAAATAGGCTTTAAGTAAAAATCGGTGTTAAAAGTTGAAACGAGGGGTAGGGGAGCACAACAATCTGGTATTCTCAAGGCAAAACAATAGAGCTCTCTTTAAATATACACTTTATTATATCCACAGGCGATAAAATCCCAGAGCTACTGTTAGGCATGTAAAAACAGACCCTGTAAAAAAAAATAATTACGCACAGTATTAGTTATATTAATAGTCACCTGAGAGAACATCTCTTTATTAAGAAAACATATCCACCTATCTAACAAGGGGGAAACCACACATTATGACACTTCTTCACTGATGTGCCACATTCCACGAGACACCTGCCCATAAACCCTCCCCTCCCCTTGAAATCATCATTTTTCAAGGACAAATGTATCAAATAATCAAGAGAACTTTCAATAAGAGTTTAGAATCACAAAGTCTGTGGTCACAAAGCACATGTATATGTACTGGAAGGGACACAGCCTTCGTTTTATGAGCAAAATGTCACTTAATACTATTGTACCTTTAAAATATTGATGAGCCCAACATACTAAATTTGAGTTAAAATAATGGCTAATTTTTTTGTATATGAAGCTTTATTCCCTGTTTTGTCTCAAAAATTGCAAATACCTCCTTATGAGGAAGGTCACCAATAGAAGAAGAAAGATCACAACTTAAAAACTTTTCGTTCTATCCACCCGATATTCCGTCTTGAATTCCACTTAAAATTTTTTAAATAACTGTAATTCAATGATAGTATCTTATCAGATTTAAGATTCCATTGACTGTAAAGTACATCATTTTATTTACTTCTAAGAAAAAATTGTCAATATGAGACTGTCTATCGGAAATGTAAGAAGCTTGCCAAATTCAAAGATATTAAAATATGAAAAAATATGTGTTAGAATCAATGAAATGCAATATCTATCCAAGTTATTTTATAAAATGTATTTATTTTATTGTCAGCTTGTTGCAATTACCTAGATATAAAACAGCTTACCTGCTAAATATTTAATATTATCAAGCTTGTGAGACTCGAGCATGGTTTTGAGGCCAGCGACCTCAGTATCTATCTTCCTGTCTGTCTGGGTGACGGCCCGATCTTGCTGGGCATGCTTTTAAAACAAAGAGATTCGCAGCATTACACCACTTGGGATATACCGTCCCCTCTGCTGTCAGTCCTGAGTTCCTGCCCACCAAGGTGCAGTCAAGGGGAACTGGGGTAAGATTAACGAAACTTAGGCTTTAGTCTTAGTACTACTATCCTCATGCTATGTTGCGTGGGTCGGGGCCTTTAATATACTTAGGCCTGTTTCTTTCTGTTTGAAAAAAGGAAAAAAACAAACGAAAAACCATTAGTCCTGCCTCCACACAGGCTAGAGAATCCAGTGTGATAATCTACGTAAAATTGCTCTGCAAGTAATGTTAACATTATGAAGCCAGTCTGTTCTTAATGGCAATAAATATGTTCCACCCTTCTAAGTTCGCCTTAATGAAAAGCATACAAAAATGCTTTAAAAAATGAAAAGAATCTTGGATAATTTAAAAGGAACAGTGCTTGCCTTGACACTGTATCTATTCACATTTTTTAAAGTTTTCTTCTTTTATAGTTCAAATACCAAGTGTTTTATTATTATCATGAGGCTTGGCTATATCAAAGACCTATTTGTGTTTTTCTCAAATATAACAGTCAAACTAGATACATAATTACCCCCAAAGGATGGTGAGTTTGGCTGATGTTATAAAGGGGTTGTCATACTTCACTAATGCATCAAAGCACTAAAAATGCTTCACTAAAAATTCTAGGGCCGGTAAGTAGTTCCCTATGGCTAACAATTCAGGTAACAAATAAAAAAACAAGAGCCTGGATGAACAGAAAAGTATTCCAGAGGAATGTTCCAATATTCTCTCATGGAAATCTCCTGTGGGTTTTAGAGGTTCCAAGTAATATAGAATGAAAAAGAAGTAAATGCATGCCATAAATTAAAAATATAATTTAAAAAGTCCATTCCTTATTATTCTTAAATCACTGAGGTTTAAAATTTTATTATGATAATCAAGTAGTTGGTTAAATGCAAAAAAATCCTATGATACTCCACTTCCAGGTATATGCTAAAAAAAAAAAATTTTTGAAAACAGGGACCCCAACAGATATTTGTATCCCCACGTTCATAGTGCCATTATTCACAACAGCCACCAGATGAAACAACCCAACTGTCCAGAGACAGAATAATCAAATGTGGTGTATCCATCTAATTATTGTTCAACTATAAAAGGGACATTTTGACACATGCTACAATATGGATGAAGCTAGAGGACGCTATGCTAAATGAAAATAAGCCAGTCACAAAAGGACAAATACTGTATAATCCCACTTATATGAGGTACCTACATTAGTCAAATTCATAGAAAGTAGATAGAGGTAGTCAGGGGCTGGGGCTGGGGCTGGGACGGGGGGAAGTTACTGTTTAATGGGAGACCTTCAGTTTTTCAACATGAGAAGAGTTCTGTGTATGGATGGTAGTGAAGGTTGCATAATAATGTGAATGTACTTAATGACATACACTTAAAAATGATTAAAATGGTACTGTTTATGTATATTTTACAACAATTTAAAAAATTCTATGACATTAAACCTGCACATATTTTCCTATAATACATCACTACAAATAGCAGTAACAACGCACAGGATGAAGCAGAGATGAATAAAATGACCAAGAAAAGTCGGTCTCAATTCTTACCAATGCCACCATTTCTGTCCTCATTTCCAGCAGCTTCCTTTCGTTTAATGAATACTGAAACAAACATGTCACATAGGTCAGATTCTGATTTCTTTCTCTCTCCTCTCCTCCTCCACTAGTATCTCAAATATTCTGGTCTCACTACTTCCAAGAATATGTAACACTAGAAACTGCCTCCAGGATAAAGGAGCCTACGTGACCCTTTCCTTCAGATCTATTTTTTTTGAGGTTTCTTATTTATATTCACTCATCAGTCCAGTATCTGGACTCCCTTTTGTCAGCCTTCACCTTTCTCTCTCTGTTTTTTTCTTTTCATTTCTTAGCTGTGATGTCCTAGGTCCCTCCCACTCTCATACCGGCACTCTAGGGACCAATTTAGATGGATGCGGAGTCATACGTGTTTTGGCTTTGACAAGAGAGTTGAAAAGTGGGGAATAATTCCAATAAAAATTGCCCCTGGGACTACAACAGCATTACTTGTAAATTAAAAAAAAAAGAAGAAGAACAAGGAAGAAGGAAGAAGAGGAAGAAGAAAAAGCCCCAAACCCCAAACGAAGGACTAGTCATAGTACCAACGAATGCTCATCTGTCTTTAAATGCCAGGGCTTCAGACCAGGAGAGAGCTATGCATCTGATCCCCACCAGAAGGCAGGGGGAACTGGATTTTCTTCACACCTTTAAATTCTGGCCTTCAGTAAGTCAATATTGATTCAGCCACAAGAGAAAAGAAAAGCCTACATATCTTGATATTGCCATGATTTTTAAAATAAGTCCCATCTTCTTGTATCCCAAAACAGTTCACTTGCCATAGTACGTTTGAAACTGGCTGTAAATATCACCCCAGTTATGTAATTGGCACAATATTACAACTTTATTAAACAAGGGAATGAGAAGGTCAAATAACTCATTTTCATCAAAGCATGTTAAATGCATACTAGCTGCATAATATTATGTTACTGTTCTGCACTTCAGAATAATCTAAGTTTAGGATCGCCAAGAACAACTTCTCAGCTAGATCAGTAAATCATATAAACTCACAGGCTTTAATCCAGGCTCACATCCCATATTTCCCAATCTTCTAGGTATATTTCTTCCCAGCTTGGTTAAAACAGGCATCTTCTTAAATCAAGTGAATTCAGCCCTGGCCGGGTAGATCAGTTGGTTAGAGCACTGTCCCATATGCCAAGGTTGCGGTTTTGATCCCCAGTCAGGGCATTTACAAGAATGCATAAATAAGTGGAACAACAAATCTATGTTTCTCCCCCCAACCCTTTCTCTCTAAAATAAAAAACAAAATTTTTAACAAAGTGAATTCAGAAAATTTGTTAAGTACACAAACTATAAGGACAAAGGTAACCAAAAGAGTCTCTCCTCTTCCAGATATAGTCATATGCTAGTGATCACTAAGTATTTTAGTGATACTAAGTGATTTAATCTTCATGGTTGAAAACGTTTTATGACTAGAAAACGGGTAATATGAACAGAATAATAATTACTTGGTATAATAAAGTTTAGCTTAACTATTGAATCCATACCCAGTTCCAAAATATAGTGAAATACTTGCTTGCATTTCAATGTTAGTTTCATTTATCAGCATAGCATATTTTAGTTGAAAGCAAATTGTGAAAAATGAGAATAGAATGAACAAATTTTGAGAATTCAGTTTCTGCATGTGTATCCAATTCTATGTTAGTGAAAAGTGCTTTATATGTCCTTACTCATTATGCTAAGAATAAAAAAGGTATCTCCCGAATGTTATTAAATCCAAATAAAGACTGAATAAGAAGATAGATGGGTTAAAAATCAGAGGCAAGCCAACACATAAAGATTAAAATATACAATTTATTGCCCCCATGTTCATAGCAGCATTACAATACCAAGGTATGGAAGCAACCTAAGAGCCCATTGATGGGTGAATGGATAAAGAAAATGTGAGGTACATAGTATATATCTCAAATGAAATCTTACTCTGTCATAAAAAATAAGAACATATTGCCATTGCAACAACATGGATGAACCTTGGGAGCATTATGCTAAGTGAACTAAGTCAGACAGAGAGACAAATACTGTATAATCTCACTTACATGTGGAATCTGAAAAAAACAAGAAACCTCAGGAGCTCACAGATACTGAGAACAGATTAATGGTGGCCAGAGGCGAGGGATGGAGGGTGAGCAAAATGGGTGAAGTGAGTCAAAAGGTACAAATTTGCAGATAAAAAAATGAATCCTGGGGATGTAATGTACCACAGGGCAACTGGAGTTAATAATACCGTACTGTATATTAGAAAGTTGCTATGAGAGTAAATCTGAAAAGTTCTTATAACAAGAAAAAATTTCTTAACTACGTAATATGGCGATGGATATTAACTACTTACTGTGTTGATTACTCATTTAGAATTTGCATTTCAAAACAATATAGTAAAGTCATTGTGATTTCTCTATTAAAGAAAAAGAGGGAAATATTTTTTAAATCTTGAATTATGGTATAAAATTTAATATTATTTACTATCAAGTCAAGATTGAGTTTAATTTCTTTAATATCTAAGTGATACATAATTTAGTATCTCTGAAACAAAAAAGGATTCAAACTTATTTGACCAATATTTTAATTTTAAAATGTTTTTGTTGTTTTGTTTTTTAGAGGAAGGAAGAGAGTGAGAGCGAGAGTGACAGCGAGTGAGAGAGAGAGAGAGAGAGAGAGAGAGAAACATTGATTGGTTGCCTCCCATACGCTCCCTGACCAGGGATCAAACCTGCAACCTGGGTATGTGCCCTGACCAGGAGTCAAATCACCATTTCTTCTGTGTATGGGACGATGCTCCAACCAAGTGAGCCACACTGGCCAGGGCAACATTTTAATTTTAATGTTACTTATGAAAGCATCAAATTTAAGCCCTAATCCAAAATATAATTAAAATAAAGAAAAAACTGTCTTAATAGTGACATGTAGATAAATATTTAATAGTACTTATGAACTATGTGTAAACTTAGACTTGACCAAGCATTCCATCCTGCAAAAAATTTAATTCATACTCTATTTTTAATAAGGGAACATACCAATTCTTTTACTCTGCTCTTTTCTAGATTGAAGTCTAATTTGGAGTCTGTGCGGACCTTGACCACTTCATCCTAGTAGGAGGGCAAACAACAAAGAAAGAAAGAAATCCAAAGTAAGAAATTAAAACCCACTGAGTGTGTGAAGCCTGTGGAAGCTGCCTCCACTCTTCTAAGGGGTCAGCCCAGGTGCTCACAGAGCTGGGGACCAGTGATTGGGGAGACTCTGGCCAATCCACATCTGGAGTCAGCCCTTTGGGACTTTATGCTTAAATGAGCCCAGCCTGGGTCACTGTTGCTTTTTATTTCAAACTTCCCAAGATAATAGACTGTGGAATTTATGATTAAAGCTGTTTCTTGGACAACTTTGGAAAGCAGATATGGATTCAAAGAAGTAAAATATTACATTCTTATTTAAATACAGCCTTCTTTCTGACACTCATCAAAATCTTTTCTTCTTCCACATCAATGTCCTTGCCATTTAAAAAAAATCAAACTGGTACAGTGCTAATCATTTTAAAATCACATGTAATTCTCTAAAGACATGTGAGAACCCTTCAAAGAGAATGTAAGGGTTCCACTTGGCTACTTTAGAGAATTTCTTATTTAAAAATGACTTAATTCCTTCTAGAACACAATTTTCTTAACGAATTTGGTTACACACATCAGTAATTTACTCATTGGCTGTGTTTTCAGCTAAATCTTTCAATGTGTACCTTTGAGGCATATCACACAAACATTTAACATAGAATTAAGTTTTTAAGAACATATAAAGTATTTCTAACATGATACTTATTATTAAGCTTAGGTAATTATAAACAAGCAAGCAAATAGGAATGAGGATCTTACCATTATTTGTTGTTTTAACTGATGTAGTTCAAGTTTTATTTTCTAAAAACACATTAAAAAGAAACAAGTCAAAAATATGTTTAGAAGGTTAGAAAAAAAAGAAAACTTGGTAACAAACTAATATTAGAACATGTACTTATGCACAAGGTCTTCCCTCATTCAATGCGAAGTTGCTACATTCAGAATACAACCTTAGCTGAATAGTCTCCATAGGAGAAGTGATTAGTTGTCATGCCAGGATGGCACAATTTTTTTTTTTTTAACATACACATTTGTCTTCAGAGACTTTGCTTTCTTGAATACCTCCTTTAATTTTTTTTTAACTAAATGCCGCACAACAGCTGACTTGAAGGATAATTCTGAGAGTTTCAGACTTTATCTTTTTCTAGCAAAAGAAAACATCTTTGCTAGAAGGTTTCTTGCAAGACTAAGACTAACAAACAGGTAATACATGAGCTCCCTTTATGGGATTCTGATAGGACTAACAACAGAAGGAAGATGCAAAGACAGCATTGATTTAAACGCTGATCCCATGTCACACTTTAAGAAACTAAGGGCTATTTTATAGCTGCATTTATTCATAATAACCAAACACTGGAAACAATTCTAATATGCATCATAGTAGAATAATGTGGCATATTCATATGATACCACAGACAATGAAAAAGAATGACCTACTGCTGCAAGACACACTGAAGATCCCATCACTTCCAGTTCTAGCATGGGCAAAACTACTCAATGGTGACAGAATCCAAGACAGTGGCCACCTCTGGTACTGCATACTTTGTGATGATTCATCAAGATGTACTCCTACTTGTGCACTTCCGTTTATGTACATTATATCTCAATGTCTGAATATAAAGCGTTTTATAAGGATAAATGGCTGTTTAGTTTTACCTCATTTTCTGCTCTGAGGGCTGAAAATTCACTCTTCTCCAAAATAATCATATCTTTTTTCACATTAGAAATCTGAGACATTATTTGCTGAAGAGTGATCTCCTAGGAAAAGGAAAGCAAAACAGATAACCTAGTGTAGTCTAGGAAATCCACCTCCAATGGTCTCTACCTGGTATCATCTTAATGAGAAACTAGAAGAATGGGATTTCTCTCTTCCAAAATGAGAAGGAAAAGAATAAAAACTCAAGTCCAGTATCATCATCAAGTGGATGACAGTTAAAAGGGTAGCAGTCAGAAGACCACTGGCTCAAAAACACACTGCTATAATTCTGGCCACACCTCCATTTATTAAAGTACTAGAGGCCCGGTGCATGAAATTCGTGCACTCACGGGGAGGTCCCTCAGATTGGCCTGTGCCCTCTTGCAGTTCGGGAGGCCTTGGGGGATGTCTGACTGATGGCTTAGGCCTGTTCCCCGCGTGAGCCTGGCTTCTGGCTAAGTGGTGCTCCCCCTATGGGAGCACACTGACCACCAGGGGGCAGCTCCTGCATTGAGCATTTGCCCCAGGTGCTCAGTGTGCGTCATAGTACCGGTCATTCCGCCATTGGGCCGAAACCGGCTCTCCAACATCCCCCAAGGGGTCCTGGATTGCGAGAGGGCACAGACCAGGCCGAGGGACCCCAGCAGTGCACTACTGGGGCTGGGGAGGGATGCAGGAGGTTGGCCAGACAGGGAGGGACTGCGGGACGGCTCCAGGGCATGTCCGACTGTCTCGCTGTCCTGATTGGCCGGACCCAAGCAGCAAGCTAACCTACCGGTTGGAGAGTCTGCCCCCTGGTGGTCAGTGCATAGCAAGTGGTTGTGAGTGGTTGAGCAGCCTTAGCACATCATTAGCATATTATGCTTTGATTGGATGAATGGAAGACCGAACACTTAGCATATTAGGCTTTTATTATATAGGACTAGAGGCCCGGTGCACAAAAATTTGTGCACTGGAGGGGTGGGGGCCCTCAGCCCGGCCTGTGCCCTCTCACAGTCTGGCAACCCGCGGGAGATAACGACGCTGGCTTAGAGGCCTGCTCCCGGGTGGCAGAGGGCAGGCCCAATCCCTAGGTGCAGCCCCTGGTCGGGCTCAGAGCAGGGCCGA